ATTGTCTGATATGCCCGTCATTTGAACCTGAGCGCTGCACGCACAACGTTGCGATTGGATTTGCAGACGTTGAGACCGTGGAGGATGTACTAGACGAGACTCGGTCGGCTTCATGAGCATTCACACTACGCTGTGAACATTTGTGCTCGCCGTCTTCAAGAAGAGGCTGGTCTTCAAGAGAGCGTGTGACTGATAATGAGGTAATGTCGCGCCTGACTCTTCGGGGTCTCTGGAGAAAACAGTTTGTGAGTTAGGAAGATTTGTGGTTTTGATGCTGCGCATGACGAGCTTCTTTTCGTTTTCTCCTATTCATTTTTTTGACATCATTTTGACATCATGTTTATATGATCACATGTACCTCCGTGACGGCTTATCCATCTTGGTACTTCTTCATTCAATCCTTGAATTGATATAGGAGACTCATCAGGTTTCATTATCTTCGTTCATAAAGAAATTTAATTTTAATATGAATAAAATCACCTTCAAAATAATATTCTAATAACTTCCCACCGCTATATCTTGCATATCAGACAACAAAACGAATCACTTCTAGATACAAGTGATTTTTCTCCGTGGGACGAGTCATTCTTCTTGTTGCTTGACATTCTCGGACACAAAAGATAGAATCTCTCAAGCTGCTTACCTTCACACGATTTTGAGGTTTGTTCCGGGACGCGGGTGGTGGTGGACGCATCAAGTCGTGGGTGCAAGGTTTGATTCAGAATCTCTGGATTCTGGAAGCTTTAATCACATTTTAGATTCGGTTCGAAAGTAATTTCTTTGTTATGTTTGCCTCATGATTTTTCAGAGACATCAACAAAAAACCAAGCGCATACGAAAAATTTCTCAGACACGTTCCTTTAGGGTCTGTAAGTTCCTTCAGTTTGCGATTTGGAAGTTCCCTTTGCCAAGATCATCGGGTGCCGCGGGCAAACTATTGCACCTACATCTTGTCGCTCACAAGTGTCCACATACATTTGACATCTCTTCATTACCATCGGAATATATTTGCTTGCTGTAAGAGGAGAATCGAAACTGTCCCGAGTATGGTTGTAGAACCAAAACTCTTCCTCATGAAGCATCCAACCACATGCACGTGGTGAAACCACCGACATACCCTTGGGAGCAGCAACTGGACTACTGTAACGATTCAGCCCGTTCAGAAGAAGATGTAGGTGACGAGAAATGGCGGCTCGAGTTACAAGTGAGCTCCCTGAGCAACACGTAGAGTGCTCACGTCGGAGGTTGAGGTCGTCTCAAATCATTATCGCTGATTCTCACCCACTAACTTTGGACGCTAGGTAGGTCGGTGCAAAGATATGCATCAGATGGCGCTTGCAAGCTGGTACGTCCCAATTTACTCTCAGAATCTTTCATGGAGAGGCTCTCAGGTAAGACTTTCTCGGTAGCGGCAGCGGGAATAATCCCTGGGAGGCAGTTGTCATCCTGGGCAATCTACATGCAGAAAATAAGGAGACTTGCCAGATGCTGTGTGTGGGAAGATATGATGTTGCATATTATGTGAGTAGATTGTGAGTTGAGAGGAGGTATGCATGTACCTTCTTCTAAGGTCCATAACCAACGATGCCTGTAAACATAGTCTTCAACAAGATGAAGACAGTCATTTATATCCTGCTGTATTGTCTTAGCTTAATGTTCAAAGGTTTGATAAAAGTGAAGAATATTAACAATCCGCCTAAGCTTTTAGTAGTCGGAGTAGACTGAATCTTGAAATTCTATTTACTTCCAGTATATCAACCCCATAAAACATCAAAATTGAGTTCACAATAGATCTCACAACATGAAGACAAGCTCATTTAAAATCAAGGGAATCGCGGCTGAGTCCAGTGGTTACAGATGCTAGGTAAAGTTCCAAGGAAATTCTACTCTAAAGTTGGGATTTTATACAATCGTAGCCTGTCATTTTGATTTACAATGTGTCCCCCAAGTTTTACAAAGTTTGATTTTCCGTCTCGGGATTGAGAAATTGTATCAATTACGCGGAGTTGATCCTTCAGAGTTGTCCGTTTCACAGCTGTCCATTGTTGTGTCCAGTGTCTCTGTTTTCAGGAGAAGAGTCTATTCTTAGTAAAACTCTCCAGGATCTTCTGTTATCTCCATATTTTACTGAAAGGTAATCTCATAGTTTCCATACTATGGTCTAGAAGAAATCTCATACTGCACATTGTTTTTGACTCACACGGCACTTGAAACAGCTATGGAGGTCTCCATGACAATGGTTATTGCCATAGTCTTTACGGTACCAATTAGCACTTGACTACACTTGCGTTAGTACTCATCTAGAAAATTGATTATCTCCCCTCTAGGAATGGTTAATCTGTTGATCAGTCAAATGTTGGACGCAATCATCTTCGTTTGCCTCCTTCAGAAAATGTTTATTCTTTATCTAGAACATCTTCAAGGTTAAACTGGTGTCACTTTCCGGTTGTACTCTACTGGCACGAAAACATCCAGATGTTATCGTGTTTGGTTCATGCAGATAGACTATCGATCTTGAAGGTATGATCCACCTTCTTGGCATCCATTCGCTTCAGAAACACCTAGCTTCGCGAAGGCAATTTTAGTTCAACGGATGATATTTTATTTCATTTTGTATCATGTCACTCTCAGTAGCTATGGGGATTTACTGCAACGTAAAAGCATTCTAAGAGTTACACTCTTATAACATTTCTCTTTATGGTATCAATATTCCATACTTTACTTGGGTTAATGTCCCGAACAGAGCTCCACTACATGGAACTACTGACTACGGAAGTAATCAAGCCTAAGAATAATTGAAAAGCACTACAGATGTCCATGGCTCTGGAACTAGCGAATCATAGAGGGATTTTGAATTGAACCTTCACTGAGAGGTTTGTCAGCGTCTGGCAAAGAACGCGCAGCATCAGTTATAGAATTCCTGTAACCCGGAGCAGGCAAAATGTGGACGGTCCGCATCCAATGGAAAGTCTTCGCCCAAGTGTTTGTAAATGATGAAATGAGGCTTTGGATGAACCACAGACGATTGTTAATTAGAGTTCTAGTAAGGGTCACAGGTTAAAATCTGGTTGATTGAGTTCACCTTCCAACGCAAATCTTCGGCAATATTCCTTGAGTTGCGGAGAGACGCGGATGCTAGATAGAAAATAATGATCGTGTTCAAAACCTAGACGGTGATCGAAGATGAAAGACTCGACAACAGACAGCTAAGATGACAGACGGATTATTCACCAGCTAGAAGCTCATCGCATCACCAATCTCGCTACCAGAAACAAGTGTGCTGCCATTTCTGCTTGCTTTCACGACATTGCCAGGAACGCCGATTCCGAAAAGTTTTCAAGCACCAGTAATCAAAGACTTCACAAAGTCAATCGAGTGCGCACACAGGTGGCACTCAAATTCCTGACATCTATTGTGTGGAAGAATTTCTCGCACCTAATTTTAGCGTCAGCACATGTAGGAATTTATGAATTTCTATTACTTCAGGCTCGGTACAAAATCTCTTCATTAAATTTCAAGTAAAACGAGATCATTCTTTTCGTCCAATTTATAAGAAATTTCAGGGTAGACAACAGAAATCAGAAGCGGTACAATTGTAGCTAGATGCAGTCAATTAACTAAGAGATTCGAGTTTTTATTTCTTGACCCTCTTTCTCACAAACTCTGCACCATCCTCAACCCAAACATGCAATGGCTCTCCATTTACAGGCGAAAAATTTGACCCAAGAAGTATGAGCGGCTGGCTTCTTCTCTTTAACAGCCTGCCGCTGCAATGCCCGACTCTTGTTTCGAAGGCCAGATTAAGAAAGTTCACGCCTGCGCATCTTAAACACTGCAATCTCAGAGCATGGAGACATCCGAGATCTTAATTGTACACCGCAGTGAACGGGTGGCTCTCGCTCAACTTGATAAAGGTTGATGTGGAGGAATTGGAAGACAGCTTTCTGGACTATATTCAGAGATGTATACTTTTCTGTGGTGTGATCGTATCTAATCGATCAGTGATATCTTTCTCCGTTCAACCATGATAGTTATTGAATCTGATCTGGAAAGACTATTTACAAATGCGTAAATGACATTTGTAGGTGATGATCTAGCTTACAGACAAATAGGCTCGTCCACTTAACGTTCTGCGAGATGAGTTTCGACTCAATATCCGAGTAAAGGAATTGCAACGAGAATCAGATACCCTTGATGTTCAGCAAACAAGGTGGGGCATCCTTTGAAAATGTATGCTCCATGTAAAGAGTCTAAGAGTCCCTGTAACTGTAACTGAACGTGCACACGCAGTCAAATTGCAAAAGCATTCGTGCTACGAAACTACCACATTTATACACGTGACAGTTGTGAGCGTGCTGGCGATTCTAAATGTGCTGAAAAATGATCCGGCTATGAAAAAGCATTTTATCAGGGTGTAGCACTGAGAATACGAAACGAAAAACTCTGATAACACCTCAACAATACATCATAGGAGAGTTTTGATAGCACAACTGATAGCACAAGTTTTGTTAAATCGGTAAGTTGCATTCGGACTGGAGTTAGGCCTCCTACGGAATCCTGTGAAATCTTCTGGTCATACAAAGAAGCGCCAAAAGCAGAATCAGATGAGCTACGAATTTCTCAGCTTCACAGATCGGATATTGTGCATGAATTCTAGGAGAAGCATTTTCTTTAGTTTAAATTGCTCTCTTGTTTAAACACGGATACTACTTGAAAATGACAACACATCGCAATTTTTAGTTCCGGTCAATCATACATTTGTTGGACCTTCATCGTGCGACAAAAACAGAAGAATCCATCAGGAATATGTGTGAAAGTTCAACGTGACCACCCTCGCGTGTCAAGGGAAAGGGTTTTCATCATGGTGAGACTTGCAACGAGACAATATAAACATTCTTCCCTCAAAAAATCAACTTCATAGTTTAATCGTACACTGATTTTCCTCAGAAATATAACTGTGCGATTGACATGATGGCAAAGATTATAAAAGACTTCTTCTTGTGAAAACTGCAAGGAAGAATTTTCAGAGTTGTATATTGCATGAGGGTCTAAACATATGCTTGTCAATTGCATGATGGCGTTCTAACGTCTTCAAAATCCCAACATGTCAGAATTCCACAACGAATGCCTCTATTCATGCACTTCTCGCACACCCATGCATGCCCACCTTTTTCTAAACTGACGTATTTCACCTGATACAACTTGAAGATTTCGGAATAGCGAGTTTGAAGTTGAGGCGCAAGAGTTTGTTGAATCCTCAACCATGCTTCTTGCAGCTCTTTGCTTTCCCCACCTTTTAGAAATGCCCTATGATCATCATCACTAATACCGTCTAGTTGAACAATATCAGATTTTAAATCTTCCCAGTCTGGAATAGCTTGGCCCAAATTGAGTGTCTTATCCAGTCCAGCCTTCACAACATAATACATGACTTTGTATGAGATTTCAATAGTTTTTCGAATCCATGAGCTATTCTCCCGATCCAAACGTATCATCAAACCTTCTTGATCTTTGACAATGTGAAACCCAGTATCAGACTCACACATCAAGTGTAAGCGAACGGTGGTTCCATTATGCAGTAGTGCACTCATTCTATAGAGAAGTCCAACATCGTTCTTAACATAAGGTCTCTTGGGCGTTCTGGACTGCTGAAGCGAATGAGAATACTGAATGCATCTGTCCACTTTAGACATGAAGTCACTCAACGATGACTGCAATTCTTGGTGCAAAGAGAGTATATGTACCATCTTCATCTCCAATTTCTGCAGAATGCTCTGCACTGATCTCAGCCTCTCATCCAAACCATCAACCTTTTGAATTAGCTTTTCTTCTAGCTGGTCGATCTTGAACAAAACAAGTCGGCTCGAACGATTCTCAAGACTTGTGCTGGCCCGACTCAAAAACCTGGATGTAGGTGGTTTGAAGTCTTTCATTTGAGGGAAATTCGAGTCGCTAACCATGTGTTCAGGATAACACTGAGCCAAATCATTGTCCACGCTGATTAGACCTTCCTGCAATGACTTCAATTCTTCAATTTGTTTCTGTCGAATCTCATTCACAACAGCTTCCACATCGCTCTCCCACAACAAATCACTAGCTCGTTCAGATATTTCGCCCATATGCCTTTCAATCGGAGGCCAACAATGCTCATAGTGGAACAACTCTTCCTTCTCCACCAAGTGCGACCTTTCCAACGGCATTTCCTCAAGTTTGTCATTGATGCTACGAATGAAGTCCGATTTCAGCTTCTCGATCAGAATGGCTCCTCTTAGATGACTCGGAATCAGCATCTCCACGCAAAATGTTTGGATCACACCGAGCACTAACGCCACCCCGGGACAACCTTTAGGTGATGCGCAAAATGATATCAACTCCTGAACGATATGCTTCATCACATATTTAATAGTCACCTCCCTTGATTTATGCCTGGAGCATAATATCAAAACATCTACGTATTTGTGGGACTTTTCACTCTGAACGTGCTCGATATATATCTGATGTCCATCAAGAAAAAGTCGCAGATAATGTCGAGAGCATGTCACATTCTCCTCAATCACATGCATCTCAGTGATCAACTTGCGTCTCATGAACATCTACAATGATGGAAAATTGGCAAATCTTTAGTGTGACATTCGAATAATTTGTTACAATTAATAAAAAGGGAACCAATCTTTTATCATAAGCTAATAACACTCAGATCTTGACGCATACAATGAATTCACTATGTGTGTGAAATAATGATTTAATCTCACCTGAAACCGTGGAAAAAACGCAGCAGTCAATGACATTGTTCTTCCATCTTGACATTGAATTCGAATGCCGACAAACTGTGAAGTTTCACTCCTATTTTTCCAATACATGGACTCCACGTGCGCCTCTTCTTGATGCTTCTGTCCTTTCTTGCTTGCATGCTCAGGGATGAAAGAAGGAATGAAATACTGAGAAGTATCTTCCAACTTAAAACACAAATCTAAATTGACAAGGATGTTTTCAAGCTGCTCTCTGTCCACACCTCTCTGTCCATGTGGTTGCTTTCTCATAAACTCTTCTATCAACCGAGCAAATACACTTTCACTCACAAATCCGTCCTTGCTTGTGTATGAGCTAATTCTATTAGAAGACTCAGACTCTTGAGCTTGAAAGTTTTGACCTATAGCTATCAATTCACCCAAAAAGGTCTTGGTGAGCCAGTTGGGATCCACAATGATGTAATCAAGGTTGGGGATGTCTATGATGGATCCAACGTCATTCAAATAGGATAGGACAGACTTCATTATATTTGAATGATCAACAAAGTGAGCAGAAGATGATGGAATGAAGCTTGTCAATTGTGGAGCACAGAAATCATGAAACTTTTTGGATGTCCACAGAGGGACACATCTGTTCTTCTTGGTGTTTGTAACCAAGAGAGAGGTGAGTTCAGAACACAATTCAGGAACCTGTGGGGATTTTTCTCTCAACAACTCGTGAAAATTCTCAAAAATGTATCTATTAAGAGGGATAACTTGCTTCTTCTTCCGGGTATCCATCTGAAAACACTCTTGAATAGGGCGAAGATCCACATAGTTTGCAAATCTTTCTGATAGTTTTTCCACTATGGAGTGAGCCCAACTCAAAGAGTTAGATATGGTTTTATCCTTGTGAGAAATCACAACAAAAACTTGGGGAAGATCATGTCCAGTGACCTTAGTGCTAGATGAGATGAAACTCAGCCACTCCTCCAACTCAGTTTTGAAACAAGAGTCTGATTTGTTTGAAGATGTTCTCTCACAGAAGGGGCTATACACAAAAAGAAAAACACAAAAATTGTTGGTTTGAGGAAAGAGAACATTTTGAAGGGTACGAAAAATCCATTGTACTGCAAGATCCCAAACTGAGATTTGCATTTTGTCATTGTTTTGCAAAAAGGTCACCTCAATGCCTTTGGTTCTCAACAATGCGTCCCATTTACTGACCAGATTGCTTTTGTGTAGCCATCTATGGTTTATCCTCATCAATGTTTTAAGCAATTGAGTTTTTCCTGCAAATAAAAAAAATCCACAAAATACACAACTTGTTATTAACGATATATTCACAGATGCTTCAAATTGATATTCTCGAGATACAATATGATATGATATAGTATTTTATATGTGATCAAAAAATAAATTTGATCAAAAATTGTAAAAATCACCAAAACAATTGAAGTTATATCGTTTATGATTTGCATATTTGAATTTTTTTTCTTTCTTACCGTTACTACATCAATATATCGAGATCAAAATAGCATTTGTTGTGTTAATCTTAGTTTCACGGTAAATCCATAGATTGCTAGGTGCTAGTTGAAAAGACTGAGAATTTACAGCGCATCTTACCTGCTCTAGGAGAGCCGCATAAGAAGAGTCGAGAAGCTTTTGCATCTCCAAATGTTAAGTTCGCTTCTCTGAACAGGGACATGTAAACCAACCGCTTCTGATTCTGCTTCAGTGCCTCTTGAATCTGCGCCGCCTTTCCGTCCCTTGCCCATGAGGTTCGTGAGACGTCGATTTCCTGGAGAGCCAAGTTTACTTGCAGGACCCCAATCAGGTCCCTGAACGCCTCCTCGTCAAGTTCGGAGTCAGACAAAAAATCCAAGTGAGTGAGGTGGTTGTCTCGAATGCACCGAAGCAGTTCCTCCCATACTCCCTTCGAAAGACGTTGGCTTCGAACAGATAATTCCAGTCTCTTCAGGATTGAAGTTTCTCCAGTTTTCCCATTCATCGGGAGGATACTGAAAGTGATGGTATTTTTAGAACGCGCCAATACACTCAGAGATTTGACTTCCCCGCGCAGTACCCTGCCTATTAGTTTTACTGCAAACATCACTTCATGGTCATATGAAGTTCTGAGTACAAGCTCCACTATGGGGTCCTTGACATCGGAGCTCGCAGAACGAGCAAGAGCGTCTATTGACTTCAAGGCATCCGCTGTGGGGTACTTGACATCGAAGCTAGCAGAACGCGGAAGACCGTCTATGTCTATATCACGTGGTAAGTCAAAATAAACAAGTATAGTTGTTGCTATAGCATTGTCACGTATGACTTCGCCGAGCTGGTGCCATTCCTCACGACTCATCCACAAAGAGTGCAACTCCACTTCCTTCAATGATCGGGTGGAAATAAGAAGTTCCCTCAAACAGTCTCCGAGAGTATACATACCCCACAGCCGAAGACGTTCAATGGATTGGTTGCGATCATCTCCTGCCAAAGCTTTCAGCAACAAGGCTTCTCCCCACACTACCTCAAATAACTCCAATTCCTTCAGGGACGAGCTCTGGATCAAAGCCTGGGACAGGATTCCAACGGTCTCGTCCTCAATGTCGTTATAAGAGCCGCCTAAACGCAACGTTTCTAATTGAGGAGCACGGTTGATCATGTCAGCCACATGCTTCACCGCACTTGTGTCCTTCCAAGCGTTATGCAGTTCTAAAGACTGGAGTTTAGAATCGGAATGTCTTCGCATTCCTGATGCGAGATTCAAGAAACATCTAGCACTCAAACTGCAATTGTCAAGTTTCAATTCTATCACGCTAGAAGAATTCAGAAGTCTCCCCAGCTGTAAACACCAGCTCTCCACTTTCGCTTCTAAACTCCTTTTCAAACTCCATTTCAAGTCTCCATCCCCTATCCAATCCAAGTCTCCATCACTCATCCACTTCAAACGTAAAACGACTATCTTTCGTAAAACGGTGCTAGACTTGAATCCTCTCAAAACGAACTCCCACTCGCTTTTTTTCAACCTCGATATATCTGCCGACCAAATATGGTCCACGTGGAGAACCTCAAGGGTGTTGCAGCTGCCGATTGCCTCCAGCACTCGAAGGCGCACTTTGCTTCGCCACCCTGTGATCGTCGAGATCGATTCACGCTTCGGAAAGAAATCCTGAAATTCTCGCCCGCTTAAATCGGGAAACCGCGTTACAGGCTCGCCTTGTCCTTCAAGACGCCGTACCAGGTCCTGGATCGCGGAGGGAAGATACAGTTCCTCGTCTGCGGAGTCCATTTCCCGTGTCGCAAATTCCGCAGCTTGATTGACGATGGACGCACCTGCACCTTCCATCCTCTCCTCCACTCTCACAGAGTCACCTGCACCTTCCATCTTCTCCTCCACTCTCCCAGAGTCACCTGCACCTTCCATCCTCTCCTCCATTCTCACAGAGTAAGAAATATTTGCTACTTGGCAGGCACATGCAAGATGTAACCGCGCCTACAGGTCGCGTTCTCCTCCAGAAAGATAGTCTCTCCCGAAGAAAACTGAACTTCCTGTCGTAGTGTCACAACGCGTGTGACTGTGCTTGAGAGTTTTTGCAATGTGCACGAGTAGTGACACAAATATCACTACAAGATCTGCCGATACGCTGATCATGAGCAATCACCACAAACGCAGGGAGATTGTGCAAAGTGGAATTAGGAAGCTGCTCGAGCTCAAGACAAGCGATGGGAATCAAAAAGAACGCTGGAGACTAGGATTCTGGTTCCGAGCCAAATCGTAGACCGTGTGGCAAATGCACTTCAGATCTCTTGGAAACGCCTCTAGAGAAAGAGTAGTTTGATGTGCACTGGTGACCGAACTGAGTGGACAAGATGATAACTCTGCAGGTGGATCTAAAATGCAAAGATGGTGCAATGTGGAATCAGGATGTCATGAAATGCATGATATTGCAGATATCTCAGATGTGACGAACCCTGAGTTGTGTAAAAACTGGATGTACAGTTGTAATGGAAGACTGCGAATCTAGCTGCATCAAGACCAACGGGAAGACAGACCTTACTATGGCTAGCGCGGTGAAAAAGCATGCATCTTCAATCAGATCTTCTCATTGAATCGTGTGAGTGATCAAGGTAATGACAATGGTCGAACACAAAAATCTTGTTCCTTCATACTCTGTGATTGGAACATGGTGTTAGAAGGTCAGACTAGATCTTGACTTTGTTGTGCAAGCGAAAAGGAAACGTGTGTGATTGGAACATGGTGTTAGAATGAGAGTAGATCTTGACTTTGTTGGAACATGATGTTAGAAGGTCACAGTAGATCTTGACTTTGTTGTGCAAGCGAAAAGGAAATGTGTGTGATTGGAACATGGTGTTAGAATGAGAGTAGATCTTGACTTTGTTGGAACATGATGTTAGAAGGTCAGAGTAGATCTTGACTTTGTTGTGCAAGCTAAAAGTAAACGTGTGTGATTGGAACATGGTGTTAGAAGTTCAAAGTAGATCTTGACTTTGTTGTGCAAGCGAAAAGTAAACGTGTGTGATTGGAACATGGTGTTAGAAGTTCAGAGTAGATCTTGACTTTGTTGTGCAAGCGAAAAGGAAACGTGTGTGATTGGAACATGGTCAGGCCTCTCTATATACGGCACATACGGAACTTTTGAGTCAAACTTCCGTATTTTGTTTTTTTAAAGTTCCGTATTTGGACCATAAATGACCTCGTTCATTTTGGAGGCGCTACTAACAAACTTAAACTGCAGGTCCCGTTTTGAAACAGTCGTTCGAAACGGTATGGGAAGGTTATCGAAACGACTGTTTCGCGCCACCACGACCTTCCCACGCGCACTCTTCGCGAAATCAGTCCCGTCGCTGTCATCCACGAAGGAGATGTCACGGAGTTGCCAGGCATGACTTGCTTCCCAGACACTAAAGCTCCCATTCGAATTATATTGAATTGAATCGAATCGAATTGATGATCTACAGAGAGGGGGATCAATTTACAAGATTTCTGGACTGGACCTGGACTGTAATCGACCTGGACTCAAGCCTGAAGTCTCGCGGCTCTCAGTTATTCTTGGTGCATGGAAATCCCACCGAAGTTATTGTAATAACCCACCAAAGGCTAAAACTGCAGTATGGTGGTAAAAAGATCGAACCCACAGGGACAGAGGCAACACACAGAGTAAAAGTGTCACGTTTAACAGACTTTTGTAGAGTTTGAATTCTCAGGCGACTGTCACTCCCAGAAATACTGCAGTGCTCGACTCGGAGGCTCGACTCGGAGGAGGATCTCGACTCGGAGGATGCTCGGAGGATGCACAGTACAGCGTAGTCACTCAACACACACACGCACACACCTGAAACTGGCAAAAGCACAACTCGGAGGTCGGTCAGGACCTCCGCTTCGGATTTCAGGAGGAAAGTGTCTCAAAAGTTCACTCAGAGGTTCTGCAGGTAGTGTCTCCCACTCCGGCTTTTACTGCCCTTCCGCCAGGAACTAGCGTAGGGTACCCGGACTGGACTTCCCACTTCGGAACGAATCCTCTTCATACGCCGTGGACGTCACCCTCGACTCTCACACCAAACGCAGGGAGTGCAGACCCGACTGAGAACTTAACTGAGACACGATCCAGTAACACACACACAACCTAAATTGCAAACCAAGGCTTACACGAAGTAATAAAACTTCACTTTGGCATTCAGGGGAAACTTCCCGTAGGAGTACAATCAGGATATGTCACTCGAAGGAGTAAGGGGGAACTGTTCAAGTATCTAACTCGCAGCCGGCTCTGAGCATCAGAAATCACCCGCAGGTGCAGATCCGCACTACTCAAGTCTCTAACCGGGTGCTAGCTCTGAACATTCAGCCGAAGGCCTTCAACTACAACATACGGTAACTTCGCTATGCTGCAGCTTCTCTACGTGGTGCCAGGACCAAAATGCACAAACACGCCAAGAAAGTGAGTTCCTGATCTGCACTTCCGAAACTGGAAGAGTCCCAAGGCAAAACGCCTTGATCTACTTTATACCCTCAAAAAGTCCTAACCAGCACTACGCTATCCTATCTACTACTCGCAGCATCTGCGCGAAACCAAACTATACTACTGCACTCGGCAAATCCGGTGCTGCGCCTCCTGCGCGCCGGACTGCTCCGCTCGCTGTCCCTTCCTTGCCAGTCTTCCGACCAGCTGCGCAACCCCAGGCGTCGGAGCGCTGCAGTGACTTCCGACTCTAAGTGCGCCATAGTGTCGCGCGCACCCGACAAGAAGGTTTCTAATTTCCTCGCCACTCGCCGCCGACTCCGACTGTCTCCCTTCGTCAATGCCGCCGCCCGAAGCTCGAACTCCCTGAGTGTGATCTTCTCTTGAGCTGCCACCTCCCAATGGGCGTATCCTTTTAGACAATGGGTCACCCGTGTCGCCAACTCTTCTCGCGCCCTGCAGCTGCCTTCCACCTCTGCTAGCTGCATTTCCGCTTCCGCACGTTGCGCCCTCAAATCCGAGCACTCGGATTGCAAGTTGCGCAACAACTCCTCATCCTCCTTGCGGGCTCTTTGACTTTCTTCTAAGGCGCGCGTCTGGCGCGCAAGCTCGGCTGCTAGGACGTGGTTTTGTCTCCGCTCTTCCTGCAATTCCGACTCGATCTTTGCCCGCATTAGCTCGGCATCCGCCTGACTTTTCGTCGCCGCATCCTCCCTCTGCTGCTGCAAGGCTTGGTATAGCTTCTGTGTGACCGCCAGGTGTTGTCGGAGGGCGGTGTTCCTATCCACATATACTTGGCACCTAGAGGCCCAAATGGCCACCTTGCTTGTGAGCCAAACCTTCCCACCCTTCAGCGGTTGTAGTCCAGGTGGGGGTTCGAGCTCCCATAATCTAACTTCGCTGAACTCAAGCCATGTACTCAAAGTGTATTCAGGACAATGAGATCATAAACACTTGCTCCTTCACAGACAAATTATCCAGAACTGAAAATAATAACCTTGCTGTCTACTATTTTCGCAAGAGCATCAGACAAGCTCTTTGTTACATAAAGATCTAACCCAACTCTGGGTGACTTCCTCAATACTACAGCCGCTGTGGGCTTTCCTATATACCAGTCCCACTCCCAATTCCTACTCAGAGTTCAATGTCGACTTCTCAGCTCCCACCTTCAGACCCCACCAGATTTCTCTCTCGGATTCAACTCTCACTTTTCAAGTTCAAATTCAGATCCCGACTGTCAGATTTCAGTCTCAGATTTCACTTCACTCACATCTCCCACTCTCAGGTCTTCCACTCAGATCTCAGCTCCCACTCACAGATTACACTTCAATCTCAGATCCCACTCTCAGGTCTTCCACTCTGATCTCAGCTCCCAGGCCGAGCACACCACTTCCGTCTCCACACACGCACACCACCAGCTCTCGCACACTGGTACACTACAAGCTCTCGCACACTAGGCCGAACACACCACCAGGTCTCAGCTCCCACGCCGAACTCTCCACTTCGAAGTCCAAGGCCGAAACACCCACAGCCCGCCTGCATGCCCCACTCGCAATGATGGATCGCTGCCTACTCCCCTGCGCGACTACACGCCGCCGCCGCCGCCACACCTGTACATTCTACATCCTGACCACCCGATATCCGCCGGAGGGGATCTTCTTCGCGCACCGCCGAAGGCATCCACCCGCAGAAGACGCACGACCACACCTTTGCTTATCCATAACAGTCACTCCCGACACCCATAACTCACAGACCCTAGCTCTGTTTCACAAGTTCGTGGGCTCGTTGGAACGATCAGGTCGAGCTCTTTCCAACGAGACCCTAACTGAGTCAAACCGTTACGAATTGCGAAAGTTATGCTGGTTTTACCCTTCGCCAAAGGCACACCGCCGAAGGCATGTTACCTGTTATCGCCGAAGGCGCCGGCACGAAGTTCGCGGACGGCGAGTTCTCCGGCCGCGAGTGCGCCGACTGCAAGTGGTCCGGCCGCGAGTTCGCCGACCGCGATGTCTTCCAGTTCGATGTCTTCCGGTCGGATGTCTTCCGGTCGGATGTCTTCCGGTTCGATGTTGTTCTACCCTATCCGCCGCTTTCGAAGCTCATAACTCAGTGACGCCTTATCCGTTTGAAGAGTTCTTGGTCTCGTTGGAACGAGCGTCGCGAGTTCTTTCCAACGAGACCCTAATCAAGTCAAACCGTTAACAAATGAAAAAGATATGCCGAGTTTACTGTTTCGCCGATGGCCCTTGCACGATGTTCACCGGCTCGGAGTTCGCCGACCCCGAGTTCGCCGAAGGCCTGCTCGCAGTTGTCGCGAAGTCGTCCGAAGCCGGAGATGTTCGCAGCCGGAGACCCCCGGTGCCGGAGACGTTCGCAGCCGGAGACGTCCGGAGCCGAAGATGTTCGCAGCCGGAGACGTTCGCAGCCGGAGACGTCCGGAGCCGAAGACGTTCGCAGCCGGAGACGTTCGCAACCGGACTTGCCTCAACCCTTCCCATCAGTAACTTCCGACACTCACAACTCAGTGATTCCTCATCCGTTTGAAGAGTTCTTGGTCTCGTTAGAACGAGCGTTGCGAGCTCTTTCCAAGGAGACACTAACTGAGTCAAGGAGTCACACATTGAAAACGTTATGAGGGTTTCACTGTTTCGCCGAAGGCCTTTCCCCGAAGGAACTTCACTGAAGGCACTTCGCTGAAGACCTTGCCCCGAAGGCCCGCTTCCGCGCCTTTGCCTATTAGCTATTACATCAACTCCTAATCTTGCCAAAACTTCCAGAAAACTCCAAGCACGACATTGCAAGAGCTTAAATCTAAACTTTTAACTCTCATAGGGGTAAAAAGACATGTGAGCACAGTTTTGTGCTCACATCATTGGCGACCATCAGGGGACGATTCCAGAATCCTAGCTCTGCAGGCTAGACAGCTTCAAATCCGGTACTGCTTGCATCTACTTCCTGCACTGCGTGTGGGGAAAACTTCTCCATTCAACGTTTCCAACTGCACTGAGTTGTTTGGAAATACCTCACGAATCAGATAAGGCCCTAACCATACTGCATCGAACTTTCCTGGGAACTCAAGCTTCCTACCATCCTGGAGCATCACCATCATACCTGGCCTCAGCGTCCTTTTCTTATGCTTCTTGTCAAAGGTGATTTTT